TGGGACTGGTTGATTATTTTAAACAATATAAATAATCCGTGTAACATTTTACGTGATATTTGAATGTCCACCATGCTTGTCCACTATGCTGTTTAACGGATTTAATGGATTTTTCATATAATAATAAATTCAGTTTACTGGATATTTTTTAAAAATTCATATATGTCACTCATAATAAATTTTTCTCAATATTATGTATAACGATGATCTTTACTATTTTGGGCTAATAAGAGTAATGACGCGCAATTATTAAATACACAGTGAAACTCGATTTAGCGGATAAGTTTGGCCCAAGAAATTTATCCGCTAAATCGAAATATCCGTAAAAACGAGAAATTTGGAATTAGCGGATTTTATATTAAAAATCATGTGACATCAGTTACATAAAAATCTTATTTATTTATAATTAACAAATTTTACAATATATATGTAAATAATAAAATAATAATATTATAAATGACAAAAAAAATAAATTTATTTTTATTCTAGCATATAATATTCTTCAATCCTTGTTTGTATATACTCTTTCTTGAGAATTTTTGTAAGAAATTTCCCTTTTTAATTTATTGACATTTCTAATTATTTGGAAATCAATTTCCAAATTTTTTTGTTGTACATACTTGAGTGCAGTTTCCAAACCTTTTATAGCTTCTGTGCTAGTGATTGTCGGTTCAGGTTTGTCCATTGTATCATTGTTATCTTCGTCTTCATGTGCTGATTGTCCTCTTACAATACTCACAATTTCTTGTTCTGTTATTTCCTCCTGAACAGCAAGATTCTGATCAATAGTAATAAATTCATTTGCATCTAGATGATTTGTAAAGGGAAGTTGATTGATTAAATCATTTATCTCACTTAATTCTGATTGATTATTTGAATTTTCAACTATTGAATCAGTTGGACTTTGATTATTATTGACTATCATGGTTTTCGCCCAACTGTTTCTAATTGTTCCAACTGTTACTTGTTCCCAAGCTTTAGAAGTAAAATTAATTGCATCAAAAATATTGATTTGAGGTACTTCATTATTATTATTCTCTGATTCTTCATAAGCTTTTATTCTATTTTGACAAAGCAATTTTCTATATTTTGACTACAAAAAAAAATTTTGAAAATTAATTCATTTAAATGTGAACATTAATTAAAAATTTATTTAATCACCTTTAAGCTATAGATTATTCCTTGATCTAAAGGCTGTAGAATAGATGTGGTGTTAGGAGGTAAAAAATGAATTCGTATATTTGATAAAGTAGGTACATTTTCTGTGTTATGAGAACTAGCATTATCTAAAAGCAAGATTATTTTTCTATTCTTTCGAATCATTATATTATTGAACCTTTCTAAATAGTGTTTAAAAATACTTCTTTGCATCCATGCCTTAGCATTCCAGTAATACCACACGGGAAGTGTATTTTTGGAAATACCTCTCAAACATTTTGGATTTTCAGATTTATGGATGAAAAGTGCAGGAAGTTTTTCACCAGTTAAACTACAAGTAAGCATGGCAGTTATACGATCTTTAGGGCGTTTTTTCCCCATAACTGGTGTATGAGCAATTGTCCTATTAGGTTCTAGTTTCCAGAATATTGCAGTCTCATCACAATTCCATATATCTTCGGGATTATATTCTTGTAAGGTTTCTTGAAGTTGAAGGCGCATAGCAGCAATTTCATGATTGGGTGCACTCAATGATTCACCTCTTTTTTTGTAACTATGTAAATTATTTCTATTTTTAAAATTGTTTAACCATCCTATAGAAGCATTGAAATCACTAATTCCAAAAAGATTAGCAAATTCTTTTGCCTTTTCTTGAATAATAGGGCCACTGAATGTTAAATTTCTAACCAAAAGTTGATCAACCCAGATCCTTGTTGCTTCTTCAATATCAGGATAACCAATTTTTTTATTTCTATATAGATTGTTATTATTTAAACTTTCATCATAATCTAACCATTGAGGAGATTGACTCAATATATCGGAAACAGACTGTACAGATATTCCAAATTCATGGGCCAATTCAACACCTTTAATGCTTGGATTATTCTTTTTTTTTTCACATAATTCTTTTTTTTGTGCTTTGGTCAGTATTTTTCTTGTTTTCTACATAGTTTAAAATAATGATTAATTATAATGAATCATTTTATTCACAATTTAAATCTTATTTATATTACTTTAGATTGGTTTGAATTTTCTTCTGATCTGTTTTGTGAGTACATATTTTCAACTTTATTATTAAAAGTATAGTTGTTTTATTTTTAAATTGATAAAGTTTTTTTTTTGATTATAGACAAAGGTGGATATTTCCTTCCCTTTATATAAGAAAAAATTTTCCTATTGATTAAATCATAAGTTTTATTTTCACGAATCAATTATACAAGCCATAAATTTTAACTTTACAAATCATAAGTTTTATTTTACATTTAATTATTTTTAATTATAATAATAAGCTATTGTTTCTATTTTTTCCAAAAATATTGACGCTTAAAATCATAATTTTTTTATTTATTTTAATCATATGAATCATGTTATATTATCGTATGTTATTATCATACGTTACGTTTATTTTATCATACGTTATTTTTTTAAATTTTCTAAACGGTAATGATCATCATTATCCGTTATATCGAAATAAATTTGTTAATGTACGACATTAAAAGGTTTAAAAAAATATCCGGTATACCGAATATATATAAAAATCCGCTAAATCCGTTAAATCAAGATAAAATAACTATAAAAAAATTCTGTTCCGAAATTTTATCCGTTAAACCCCTAAATCCGCTAAATCGAAATCCGCTAAATCGAATTTCACTGTGTATAATATTAAGAATGTAATAATCAGCAATACATCCACAATTTAATCTAACATATTCCTAGCTATTTCTTGGCAATGACACTATCAATATGTCATTTCCTTTTATTTCTTTATATGCTAAAATCATAAATATTGTAAAAGGACAAAGTGAAGTTCATTACAATGAAACAAATGAAACAAATGAACCTGAGCTGATGATCATTAATATAGAAGCTATAAAAGCTCCAGAAACTATACTTAAATATGTACAACAAAAAATTTTAGATATTGGTTTTCAAGTAATTAGAAATGTCAAAAGATTAAAAAGTGAAATTTCTTACAAAATTCTCAAGAACAAGTGCAAACAAGAATGGAAGATTATTATAATGTCAATGTTTTAAGTGAATGAATTGTTTTTTTTAATTTTTTTACCAACTGTATTTTTATTATCATCATTATTATTTGCATTCATATTATTAAAAATAAAATTGATTTTTTACGTAACATGTATTGTATGATTTAATCAAAAATTCAATTTTTTATGGATATTTTGGTATTATGGATGACTCGGTATAGTGGATAAATTTCTTGGAACAAACATATCCGTTATACTGAGACTTGCTGTGTATTCCATTTTTGCAATGAACAGCAATAGCCTCAATAATTTTGTTTCTTTAGCATTAATGATTGAATCAATCATCCCCAATAAGTTTAATCTTTTAACAAATATTGTTAGCTTTTTCCACTTTTAAAGCAAAAAAGTACTAAAATAATTTATATACTTAATGTACCCTTATAAAAAGGATATAAGTATATTAAATAAATAAATAAAAAAAGGAACAAGCAAGCAAATCATGAAAAACATAATAAATGAACAACAACAAGCAAATAAATGAAATTGAAACATTTAAAAAGCAATTAGTTGATAAAGAGGAAGAACTAAAACTAAAAATTTGACATGTGACAGGTCAACCTAGTGAAGACAGTTATTCTTCTGGTCATCAATGATACAAAAGACTAAATAAAAAATGAATGGATGAAGGCAAGTTAAGAATGGCAGTAGATCCTAATGAAACTAGAGAATGAGCTAAAAATTGTAAAAGAGTTTGATTTGACAGTATCACTATTGAAGAGATGTTAGAAGGGTTTATTGATTATTCGAAAGGTTTAGCAACAAATTGTTCTAGTCATATTGCAGAGTCAAGCAGAAGAGGTTGTCAACTTTATGATCAAAGAAAAGAATTCAAAAAGAGAATTGAAGGGTTTGAGAAGTATAAGGAGCAAGTTGAAAATTTGGAAACAAAACTTACAGAAATTTTATCAGTTTGACATAAGGAACAGGAAGAAATTAATACTATTTCTTGAGAAGACCAATTTCATTACTGAGACTTGGAAGAGTTAAAAGAATTATCAGGCAGAACAAAGAAGGAATTAAATAAAGTTGTCTTTGAAGTCATTGAGAAATTAGAACAAAGTGCTAAAGACTTAGCTGAAGCAATAAATACAGCTGAAGCATGAAAAAATTGACAAAAAGGTCTTTTGAATGATGAAATCAAAGAAAAATTGCTAATGCTCCAAAAGTCTGCAAATTTGCAAGAAGAATTAGCCCAAAAATTAGAAATGTTAAGAAAGAATGATCGGAGATTTGAGGATGAAGCAAAAGAAAAAGAAGAATTAAAAATACAACTATATTTGGAAAAACCCCCCTTTACCCTCTCTTCCTAAAGAAGTAGAAAGTAGGACTTTAAATAAACAAAGCATTTTCAAGCAATTAAAAACAAAAATGAAAGCCAAGGTTCAGCAGTTGCAGAAATTAATCAAAAGAGAAAAGTTTCACAGTCAAGCAATTGTTGCTAAAATAGGAGTTCTAGTTAAGTAGTCATGAGAGAACTGCTTTACATAATCTTAGATTTAGAAGAATGACAGCAGTAATTCTACTTGTGTTTTCTGCCCTGGTTTAAAAAAAGCAGTTTGTCAAATCAGAACATGAAGCAAAGCAACTGGTGAAATGGTTGAAAGTGATAAGGCTTGTGAAAACTGTAAAGAGAAGTTTGAAAATAATGAATTGCCTAAGTGTGATTGTGGAAGATTAAAGACTAGATATACTTGTGATTGCAAAGAAGAGAAAAATGAAAAAGAACTTCCTCTTTTACCTCATCAAAATGGAGGAATGGCACTTTTTTACAAACAGCAAATAAATGGCTTGCAAGAAAAGGAAAGACAGTTAGAAGAGGAAGTAGATACACACTTGGAAGCTTTAGGAGTGGCTGAAGATTGGCATAAAAGACAGAAACAGGAATTATTAGATCAAATTAAGCAATTAGAAAAAGAAAATAAACAACTAAAAGAATTAACTCCACGAGAATTAATAAAAGAGATCAATGAGTTAAAAACTCAATTAACTCAATTACAACAACAAAATGGTCAATTAATTGCTCAAATTGAAGTTAAAGAAACTAAAAAATGACTTTGATTGAAAATTAAAGTTGGAAAAAAAGTAATTATTTTTTTTATCAAGTTATTCTGCAAGTTTTCTTTTTGTTCTAGTGAATTTGTATTAATGAATTGACTTGAAGGTTTTCCATACAGTACAGATAAAGAATTAAATTCTTCAATCAAATTAATCTGGTAATTTTTTTAGATGGTTTAATAATGGTATAATATGTATTAAGTTAAAATAAATATGATTCTTACATTTTTTAATCTATTAGTATTTTTAATTGATTTGATATCGTTTTGAACAAATATTTTCTTTGCCTAATAAAATAAAATAAATATATTTTATTTATTTATTTATGATTTATGAATAATTTTAAACTTACCAATTCAATATTAAATTTTAATAATTTATAAATAAATAAATATCTTTCTTTAACTTCTCTATCACCATTGTCATCATCATCATCATGACTATTAACACCATCTCTACAGTTATCATTATTATTGCCATCATTTTCTTCTTCATTATTATTAAAAATTATTTTATACAATTTAATTAAATTATTTTTGCATTCATTTGGTCTAACTAAAAATAGTTTTACATTGAAATCAATTAATTTTAATTTTAATTCTTTATTTAATCCATTAATATTGTTGATATTGTTATTACTATTATTGTTGTTGTAATTAGAAAAGTTATCTATTATATACTCCAATATATATGGTGATTCATCTAAATCTAATCCTATTGTTGTTAATATATTTAAATAAGATATTAACAGTTTAGACTTAGAAATAACCTTATGAGTTGTACTAGAAGTATATGATGATGAAGTTGTAGTATTAAATGAAATTGGTTTTTTAAAGAAATTGTTAATTGAATTAAATAATTTCAGCAATGTTGATTTGAATTTTTTTTCAACTTTACTTGGAATTTTATACAAAAATTCTAACAAAAATTATAAGTTAATATTATTAATAATAACATCAATCAATAAATCAATTAACCATTAGCAATAATAACCATTACCTTCAATAATGATTATAATATAATAAATAATAATATCAATTTCAGTTTCTAAAAATTTAATAAATAATTCCAAAGTATAATCTTGAATATTTTCAACTTTTAAACTTATGTTTCCAATCGTTTCCAACATTCTTTTCACCATTAAATCATTTGATATTGTGATATAACTAATTATTTCATCAATAATATCTTTGGCATTTTTTTCATTTGCAATCAATTCAAATATTTCCAATTTTTTCATAATTATAAATGAGGATTCTTTAATTCTAAATGGCGAAAAAAAACAAACTATATATAAATAAATAATTATCAGAGTGAAACACATTAATAAAATTTTTTACCTTATATAAAAATGTTTATAATCATTTTCTAATAATAAATTCTTAAAATTTTTAGCATTTGATAAATTTATTAATAAAATCAAATGTTCCAATGTTGAATAAATTATTTCCGAATTAGTTGATAATAGAAATATTGAAACCAATTGATCTAATAGAAAAAATCAATCATCAATGATATCAATAATTAATTATATGATAATAATAGTTTAATTCATCATCATTATCATCATCATTGATTAATTACCTTTCAATCTTTTATAAACATCTTCATGAATATCATTTAAATCTTTTGTTAAATTTAAAAATAAATTCATTGTTGCTAATCTTAATCCACAATTATTATGTTTTAATTTGTCATCCAATAAATTCTAACAATTGATAAATTTTCGTAAATAGACTATTGTTAACCACAAAAAATCCTAAATAAATCTTTGTTGTTCACTTACCAAAATATTAAATATTTCATCCTCATTAACCGGATTATATTTAGTGATAATATTATTAATTATAAAAGTTTGGTGCCATTCATTGAACTCATCAATTCTTTTTAATAAATAATAAATAAGGCTTTTATTAATCTTTAATTCTCCGTTAATGCCACTTTTTTTATTTCCTAATATTAATATTTCATTTAATGCTATCAAACTATTTCCAGCAACTTCAATATCTTTATCATTTAAAATGTTATAATATAATTGATCAAGCAATTGTGTATCTAAAAAATGTTAATATTCAATAATTATAAACTATTTTATAATATGCTATGTTATGTTATAAATATTACAGTATAATTTATCCTTTACCTAATAGATGTTTTGGTGAAAAACGAAACAGTTTAATACATGACATTGCAGCTGTTTTACGAACATATGGATTAATATCTGACAATGATGACGTTATTGAATCCATCATATAAGGTAAATAGTCAAGTATTCTATTGTAAAATATAAATGTTAACTAGATTATAATTAGAACAGATATAATGCAACAATTACTATTGTTATTATACCTTAGTGAACATAATGTTCTTAATGCTAATCCTCTGACTAAAAAATTATCATCTTGAAGATCTTTTTGAAAAGTATTTATTGCTAAAATCGCTAAATCACTATTTTTCTCTGCTTGTGTTGAAATATAAATATATGATAATTTCTTTAAAACCAAATCTTTTGTTGATGCGACCTTTAAACATTTTATTATTAGCAATTAAAGTAATTAAATTAAATACGCGTACAAGTTTTTAATTGCTGACCTTCACAACTTCACCAAATAACGATGATACGTCAATACCATTAGCCATTGCTTCCAATATTTTCTTTATAATTACACGTTTTGAAGACTGGATTAATCCTTTTTGATTTATTGTCACATTTTCACCAGCCTCCTTTAAACTTCTACTTAACTCAAATATTTCTCTGCTTTGGTAATTGTCAAATAATGAAGTCTTATTTGTAATCATGATAATTGGAAAATACGTTGGCAATAAGATAATTAATTTTGTTGTTGAAAAATTTAATATTTAATATGTCGATCTTTTCCGTTTATCACGATAATCTTTTTCGCCACCATTCATTCCTTAAAATAAATTTTCTCTTAAATAAATAAAATGTCAGACATTCGCATTCGTGACGGTATTTATCCGAAAATTATCAGTTTTACATTATTATTATAATAATATTAACATCATCTTAAATAATAATTCCTTCTTGAATCTACCAGCACTAAATGAACTTGATGATAAACGGATCAAACAAGTAAAGCCATTAATTCAGCCTCAAATTTTAATGGAAGACTTTCCACTTACCTTCCAAGCAGCGCAAAGTGTTATACTTGGTCGTTCTGGTGCTGAAAGCATTATAAAAGGTCAAGATGACCGACTTCTTGTAATAGTTGGTCCTTGTTCAGTTCATAGTGTTCCTGCTGCTCTCGAATATGGTAAAAATATATCAAAAATATATCAAAAATAAACTTGTTTATGTAGCATTATATGTATAGAAGCATTTATTACTTATTTATTACAATCATCATAAATTTAGCTGAAAGATTAAGTAAGTATTCAGCTGGTGCAAGTAGTGACTTAGCCATCATAATGCGAGTTTATTTCGAAAAACCAAGAACTACAGTGGGGTGGAAAGGGCTGATAAATGATCCTAAATTAAACAATAGGTGGCTATTATAATAATTGTAGGTCACATTTATATGTGATGTATATAAGTGTAATATTAATACAAATTTCTTAGTTTTCAAATAAATCAAGGTTTACGAGTTGCACGTAATTTATTATTAGATATAGTAAGTAGACACAACTCTTTTGAGAAAATCATTACTTATTTTATTTTCATTTTTTATTTATTTTAAAACAACTTAAAATTTAAATAGAATCAATTGGGAGTTCCATGTGGGTGTGAATTTCTTGATACAATCACACCACAATACATTGCAGATTTGGTTGCTTGGGGTGCTATTGGTGCAAGAACTACTGAATCACAAGTACATCGTGAATTAGCTTCAGGTTTATCTGTACCTGTTGGTTTCAAAAATGGTAAATATAAATGTATATAAATGTGAGAGAAAGAGAGAGCATGCATGCATATGTAGTATTAATTCTTTTGACAATATATAGGTACTAATGGAAGTATTGATGTAGCTGTTGATGCAATCAAAGCTGCTAGTGCTAAACATAACTTCTTATCGGTTACAAAGCAGGGATTAAGTGCAATAGTGGAAACAGAAGTAAGTTATACAATAAAAATAAAGAAATTGATAAAATATAAATTATTCACTAAATACCAACATACAAAAATATAAATAAATTAGGGAAATGATTCTTGTCATATAATTTTAAGAGGTGGTACACATGAACCTAATTATTCAGCAGAAAATGTAAAAAATGCTGTATCAAAATTAGAAGCTGCAAAGCTCACTGCACGTATAATGATTGATTGTAGTCATGGTAATAGTCAAAAGGTTTTTAGTAAACAAGTCGATGTGGTTAAAGATATTGTGAGTATTGAATGATGAATGAATATTCTCTTGTGATTGTGAATTAATTAATCTATTTGATTAATTTTTGTAGGTTGAACAACTTAAAACTTCGCCTACAGGATTCAATATAATGGGTGTAATGATTGAAAGTAATTTGGTAGAAGGTAGCATTAAATATTTTTATTTTTATTTGTGTTATGGTTATGATTATAATAATCCAATAATAATAATAACAATTATATAGGACGTCAAGATCTTCCACCAGATGGAGGTGCAAATCTTACTTATGGTCAATCAATAACAGATGCATGCATTGGTTGGGAAACTACAGTTCAAGTTTTAGATCTGTTACGTGAAGGTGTTCATGCTAGAAGGACTCGCAATGGTAAGGTGTAAATGGGATAAATATATAAGGAGATAATAAATGAAAAATTTGATTTTCAATACATGTTATAAAGTATTTTTTATGTTTTTAAATATCCAATAAATTAAATTTATTTATTTGATTAATTAATTGATTGATTGATTAGATTTATAAAAAAAAATTGTCCAAATGAAATTTAAATCACATTAAACACATAAAAAGAACATTATATGACAAGAGTAAATAAGGTACCTACTTACCATACATAATCACTAACATTGAAATAAGAGATAAACCCTAGTTATAATCTTTCTATTAATATAAAGATGGAGATCATAATAAATATATATTAGCAGCATTGATATGTTTAGTTAAAGACACACCATCAATTGATGATTTATTGTTATTGATCAAGAAACATAATTTTGATTCAATATTAATTCCTAGAATTGAACAAGTTCCAAAATATCCTGCTATAATTAAATCTCAATTTATAAGTGAAGACAATTATGGCCAATCAATTACCATGAGAATGATAAAAAGTGAGTATATATGAAAGAGGGAAAGGGAAGCAAGAAGGAGTGAAGGAGATTTTTGTTATTTATTTTATAATTATGATGTATATTACAAAAATTTATAAACTTAACCTATTTATGTTCATAATAACAAATATAGTAGAAAATAAAGATATAAAATAGCTAAAAGGATATATGCAAAGAGCTATTGAACTAGCTAAAATAGCCAAATCAAATCAAGAGGTGTGTTGATATTTGAATACATTGATATTACAGTATCTTTGTGTGCATACATAACTCCAATCAATCAATTAATCATTTCCCTAATTTTAAAGATTCCAATTGGTTGTGTAATAGTAGATCCAAAAGGTTTAAGAATATTAGCAGAATGTTATGATTCAAGAGCAACTACAAGACATCCACTTAAACATGCAATTATTAAATGTTTAGATGTTGTTACATCTGTAGAAAGTTGTAATACATTTACAACTCAGCATGATTATGGGCACCAAAACTCATTAAAAAGAAAAATTGATGGTGGTGATCAGCAACCAATAATACAGATTACTGATTTTGATGTTGATGTTGTTGATGTTGATGATGGTGTTTATAATGTTGAAGAGAAGAAGTCAGAAAAAAGATTAGTGAATGAAAAAATTAATGATGATGGTGATAATGATGAAAGCCAGGGAAATTGTCAAATGATGTAGTAGCATATTTATGTAAAGGTATGACTTATTTGTTACCCATGAACCTTGTATAAATGTAAGTAATTGCATACAACAATAAACAATAATATAATGACTAAAATGATTACAATATTTATTATTGTGTTCAATGGCACTTTTATGTTCATGTATTGGAAAAGTTTGTTATGGAAAGCCAAGTATAGTTGCTGGTGGTTTAGAATCATGTTTTAAATTACATACTCATAATTCATTAAATCATCATTTCAAAGTATTTGAGGGTAGAGTGTAGGTAACACAAATTTCCACTATGATATATGGATGAATTTTTTTGGTTGCTGATCACTAAACAATTAAAAAAAGGAAAATATTATATACAGAAAGGTTCTTTTTATGGAATATACAGAACCCTACCAAAAATAGCAATTCATTCTATAAAAAAGGAAACTAAATTGTAGCTCAAAATTTTTGTAAAACCAATGTGACATTTATCACAGACGTGATGATTAAATTTGTGGGCTGGGGGTGGCAGGAATTACACAGTGTTTACCAACTCTAAGAATTAATCCTTATTTGTCACATAGGTTCTGTATATTTCATAAAAGAACCTTTCTGTATATAATATTACCCTTAAAAAAAAAGGAAATAAAAAATTTTAAAAAATAGGACTTCACATGATTTTATTTTTAAAATTATTTCTTACCTGTCAGTGTGCAAATCCTTTCTCTTTTTTTAATTAGTGCGTGTAACATTCGCTTGAATGCCAATAATTTCTTTTAACATTTATAACACAAACTTCTAATAGATTAAAAAAACGATATATATAAAAAATTTTCTTGAAGTTTCAATAAATATTTTGGTACCTTTTATTTAAAATAAAGCTGCTTTTCGAACTCACAATAATGGGTTAATAATGGGTTAATAATGGGTTAAAATACACATGAAAATTTACACTAAAAACGTTGATTCTTTTCAACAAGGCAGCTTTATGCTGATTACAATAGTCAATAAACCAAAGCGAACCTTGTTCTTTAGACTTCATTAGTACCATAAAGATGACTCACTTGACAGAATTTTCAAAAATATATAAAATGTATATCTTCATTAC